CACGGTTGGTCAAGTGCAGAAACCGGCACTCCATAACGTCGTGCGCCATCAGCAGCGAACACATCATAAGCGTGGCCTTGGGATTCCTACGAAGCTTCTTTTGCGCCGCCATCAACCCTGCGTTTTTTACCAGGGCGGTCGCGGCGTAATTTCTGCCCTGAATGCAAAGCACCTCCTTCTTGGGCTTGGGGTCCTTGTCCTCGTTACTAGGCGGGTCGAGGCCATACTCCTCCTCCGGCTCCTCCTCATTCTCTTCGCCCTCCCCATACTCCTCCTCCTCATACTCCTCCTCCGCCTCGTATTCCTCCTCTTCGAACGGCTCCGCACCGCTGGCGGCGTCCGCCTCCTCTTCCTCCTCTTCCTGCGACTGCTGCTGCGGTCCCGTCAACTGGACCTTTGCGCCGTCTCCGCCGCACGCGAGGGCGCCGTCGACGCCATCCGCACGCGCCGCCACAGACGAGGACGGCAAATGCGCTGCTGCATCATTGTCAACTGGCAAAGCAGCCTCCCCCTCCGCGACGTTTTGCATCTTGACTCTTCGGGGGGTGCTTCGCAATGGGTAGAGGAGAAGAGGAAATCAGTTTGCGTGAATCAGTCGAGGGCAGGTCCGGGAAACAACATGGCCCCTGCCGTCTCTCTTTTTGCGCTTGCCCCTGCCACAGTCGGCAGCAGCTGAACCATTATTATCTCTCCTCCCCCTCTTCCCCACCTGTGCCGAGAGCCCTGCCTATCCCGACTCCTCGCACTTTCTCCCCTCCGTCACTTTTTCTTCTTTTTCTTTTTCGTTTTTTTTATTTTATCTTTTTTTTTCCTGGGTGGCCTCTACAGTTATTCTCGTCGTGTCAAGGATTCAGCACAAAGCCGTTGCAAAGAAGCGTGCACGCGGTTGTGAGGAGGCCCAAAACGTGCCACATTTTGCCGCCGTCGCTCTGCAGCAACGCGTAGGCCCCGACGAGACAAGAAGTAAGGCACAACCCCCACGTCGTTGGGTGCGTGGGGAGCAGCCAGAGGAGGCCCCTGAAGACACACGAAACCGAGGACAAGAGCAGGCCCAGGGCGTAGGCGACGGAGAGGGACAAGGCGGCGCACCATGCCGGGTACAGCAAGCAGCGCTCAGAGAGTGGCCCAGCCAGGGAACGCCAGTCAAAGGCACTGCGTAGCTCCTGCTGAAGCGCTGAAACCAGCGAGGGGAGGCTGCCCACCGCACCACCCGCGACTCCCTCAGCAACGCCCCCCAGAGGGGACGCGAAAGATGATGTCGTCACGACCGTGATAAGACGACTCGTGAGACAAAACCAAAGGCAACTGAAAACGCCAACGAGAATAGGAACAGTAACAAGCGGCAATGGCACATGCCACGCTCTCCCCCACCACATTTGTCTCCACGCGTACACCAGCCACCCCGCCAAAACGCCACCATGCAGGGGCAGGGCGCGGATTAGCGTGGCCGTAAACAGTTGCCTCGCCTCAGAAGGCTTTCCGGTGATCCACGGTATCGGCGGTGCAGTGAGGAGGAACGGCGGGTGGTGTAGCCACATGCCGCCAAACGAAACCACGGCAAAGTTGACAAGCGTCAAAAGCGCCACTAGACGCAAAGCTCCCCGATGCGAGAGGGGCTCAAAGAAGCCAGTAAAGGGGGCTATGACAACGCACGGTGCAATGAAGAAGAGTAGCAGAGCCGTGACCGGTAAGGAGGGGATGGCGTTAGCCTCAGGCCTCCCAAACGGCACCGCCTGTGTGTCGTGGAGGACAAATAGCAGGTGGTAGTAGAGGGCCATCGTCAGGCCAATCGGGGCGACAAACCACGTCGACTGCAACGACTCACTGTACTCTACATGGCTGATGTAGCGTTGAAAATCCTTGCTGCGTGAGAGGTCCCGCACGCAATTACCCGTGTGGCGTCGCGACTCCACGCTGTGGAACTGGTGTGACGGAATCCGCTCGCAGCTGGGCATCTATCCCTCGTCTCTAACGTCAACGACAGCAATGCCGCCTCGACCACGCACTGGCCTCGGAGCGAAAAGGGGTGAAGAGGGAGAAGGGCGAGTGCCGTGAAAATGCTCGCAGCTGCGTCACAGAGGGAAAAACCTCCTATACGTCAATGCACGGGAGAGAGAGAGAGAGGCAGGCAGGCAGGCAGAAGCAAATGAAAACAAAAACAAAAGAAAAAAACGCATGTTGACCCCAACCTCAATTCCTTTCTTTATTACCTTTTTTTTTGTTGTCGCTCTCTCCCTCTCACTCTCTCAGTCTGTCTCTCTTTGTGCGTGTCTTTTGGGGCAAGCGACAGCAACTAGTTTCGGCTGTTTGTCAACTCTCTTTTTTTTTTCCTCTCTCCCACTGTGAGCTTTTTTCACCCCTCCTTCTTTTTCGTGTTGTTCTGTTGTTAATGCCGTTTGTGTTTCCCTCTGTGCTTCGCATTTTCGCTTCTCATGCGTTGCCGCGGTTCCCCGCAGAGCAGGGGTGCCAGCTTCCGCTAAGCGCAGATCTGCGTGCACCCGCACGTTGCTTGGCGCTGTCGTATTGCGCCGTGCTCTGTCAAAGTCGGTGGCGCCTCCCAAAGCCAAGCGGGATTAATTCTATGCAAGACGGCACGGGGGACGGCAGGGCGTTAAGCAAAGGCGCAGAGTTGGCGGGCGCGGAGGCGGAGGCGGAGGCGGGGAGAAAATGGGGGACAAAGGCGTAGCAGCCCCTTTCGCCTCATTGGCCTCGTCTCTACGGCGGGGGATCGGCAGCTTCTCCTTGGCTCCAGCTTGGTCCATTTATCGCCATCCTCCGACCGCGGCCCCCGCGCACTCTCTTCCCCCTCAGCCGCCCCTCACTGCGGCCGCACTGCCCCTGGCCCTACTTGGCCCTTGCCGCCATCTCTCGCTGGTAGCGTTCCTTGTCCTTCTGTGCCAAGGCCTCGTACGGCTTCTTCATCTCCTCTGAGAGCGCCTTCCACGCGGCGCCGGCCGCCTTGGAGGTCTCCGTGACGCTCAGCTCCGGATGCTTCTTTCGGAAGTCGCTCGTGAAAAAGAAGTAGGCAGAGAGGGACCGCTTTGGCGCATCTGCATCCTTGGCCTTTGCCTTTCCGCCACTGCGCTTGTACTCCTCCCCGCCACTCTTCTTGTACTCGCCGAGTTCCCGGTTGAAGCGCTCCTTGTCTTCCTCCGCGAGCTTCTTGTACTTCGCCTTGACGGCCTCCGAGGCCTCCGCCCAGAGTTTGCCCAACTTTTGCAGCACCTCCGTGTTCTTCATCTCCGGGTTCTCCGCCTTTATCTTGTCGCGCTGGTCATTCCCGAAGAGAATGTACGGCGAGAGCGCGGCCTTTGGGTAGTCGTCCGGCTTCTTCTCCTTTTTGCTCTTCTTCACCTCCCTCTCGTCGGCCTTGGCGCTGGCGCCGCGCTTCTTCCCTTTCCCGCCGATGCTGTTCGCCGCCTTCTCCTCCTTCACCGCGTTCTCCAGCTGCTTCTTGAACTCGGGAAGCTGCATGAGCTTCGTCACGATGCCCTCTACGGCGGCCTTGTGCGAGGTAAACTCAATGCGGTACTTCGCCTCCAGGCGCAGACGCAACGTCTTGCTTGTGAGAAAGCTCACACCCTCCTCCCGCATGATGGTTGCGATGACCTCCTCGACGTCCGCCGGGAGAGGACCTGACTTGAGCTCAGAGGACATGGCTGCCGATGCGCGGTGTGTGGGGTGCTCGGTGCGTGGCGCGCGTTACCTCCGTGTTATCCCTCGCTTCTCACCTTCTTGTCTCCGGCGCCCGCGAACGGTGCGGAGTTCGTGGCAACGGCAAAAATGCAGAGGAGAAGGGTAGAAGGGAAGGGAAGGGCGTGGGGGAGGAAACACCAGGAGCAACGCGCGGCAGCCCGGCAGCGGCGGCAGGAGGCGGCGGTAAAACTTGGGGGGCAGGAAACAACAACAACAACACACGCACACATACACACAGAAAAGGGGGGAGGGAAGAGGAGTCAAGCAAAGACGCCACGGGAAGGGCCACAGTGGCGCGGGAGGTGAGGCGCCGTAGAGGCGCGGCGATGGCCCACGCGAGGAAAAAAGGGCAACAAAACCCCCGAGCATCTAAATTATTAAGCCACCGCCGGAGTCGGCCTCAAACTGCGACTTCCGCTCGAATCACTTAATGTCTGTCTTTTCTGTTATTTTCCTCTTATCCCTCGTCTAGGAGGAATCCTGCCCGGCTCGCGGGCCCGCCTGGGCGTGCGGCGCCAACGCCAGCACGACGTGTTCGGGCTGCAAAACGCCGGAGGCCCTTCGGCTACCACACACCCTTCACGCCCAATGGAACTGCAGAGCACCGGACCTCGTCGTACACGCGACAGGGACGGAACTTTCGCGCCAGCCCCTGAAGCTGCTGCTCACCCTCCTGCCAAGCGGAAGCGGTGCTTTTTGTCCCCGGCTCCTCGTTCACGTCCTCCGCCCGCACACTCTCAGAGCGCTCCTGCGTGGGCGTTTTCTCCACATCCATGTCCGCCGAGCCACGCGACGGTGTTGCATTCAGCTCCACTGGCACGGTTGGGACCGGGCTCTCGGTGTCGGTGAAGAAGAGCACCTTCTCCAGGTAGCTCCATCGATGCGGGGAGGCAGTCGCGCTAGTTAGGGCGGCCAGGAAGCTCTGTATGCTGTAAGCGACTAGCCGCGACACGAAGCCTGCGCCACTCCGTCCGAAGAAGCTCACAAGGTCATCCGCGTCTTCCGCCCCAGCAAAGGCGCGCCCTCCACTTTCCTCGCCTACTTCCTCAAAAAAAACCGATGTGCAGTCCACTGTGGGAACGGCCGCTTCAAGACGTTCTAGCACCTGCGCAATCTCACTAAAATAAAGTTGCTCAGGCTCACTTATTCCAATCTCACTTGAAGACTTTCCGTGGAGCCTCTCTCGCTCTCTCTTAAGTTCTTCTCTAATGCCATCTACGTAGCGTGTTTGAATGAGGCGATCGCACTCCTTCAGCGGCGTAGGGTCACTATTCGCCTCAGTGAGGGCAGCGCCCAGGGCAAGGATGCTGTGTACGGTGTGATGCTGCAGCAGCAATGCCAGGCGACCGTGCGCGTCGCTCAGCGCTGGCACGCGCCCTCCAGGAAGAGCAGCTGCTGTAGCCTGCTGCAGTGAAGCATGCGGCTGCCCCACGGAGAGCGTGTCCAAGAACTCCGTCTGGCACTCGGCCTCTGCGGTGGTCATCCTTCGCGTTAAGGCGCCCACCCCGCCGCGATCCCAGTCCACGGTGTTGGGGATCCGGAGCATGTGTCGCAGGACGCGTCGGCGCGGGGCATCCGCGGCGCAGTTGAGGCACTGTGACCCTTTTCCTGCGGGGCCTTCACCCACCGCAGCGGCGGTCGTCGCCAAACGAGAAGGGGTGCTCTGTGGCTGCCGATCTTCCTTCAGCTGCCTCTCTAGCAGTGAGCGCAGGCGCAGCAGAAACACGGCGCTCTGCGTGGGGAAATCGTTTCCCTCCTCCCCGGCGTCCAGCTGCGGCCTCGCCGCATCCATCAGGCGAAGCATGGACTCCGCCGCGCCCAGCTGCCCCGCCAGCGGCGGGGCGGGAGGCAAGCCGGCACGCGTGCCGCACGACAAGGCCAAGTAGCGCGACACGAGGCAGCAGAGGTCATCTAAGAAGCCGCCGACGACGTGCTCGTCGGCACGCTCTCCCCCGACCATGGCCCCGGCCCCACCACCACCCGCAGCTCCTTGTCGCAAGAAGAGAAAGGCAAAAAGAAAAAGAAAAAAGCGGGGGGGGGAGAAAAAACAAAACAAAAATGACAAACGCAGGAAGTGTCGGAGGAGTGAAGAAGGAACGAAAAGAGGAAAAGCGGCTGAACTTCATCCTGGAGTCTAGCGTCAGCCAGTTGCCACTCATAAGAGGCGTTTCTGTTAAAGGGGCGATCAGCCCTCCCGCAGGCGTTTCACGCCTGACTCACGCTCGCGGCGAAGGTCTCTGCGGCGCCGCTCCCCCGGGTCTGCGCTAAAAGACTGCCGCTTGGCGTAGAAGGCCTGCACCACTCGCCCGTAGAACCGACGCTCATTCAGTTCCCGGCGAGCGCTGGTGGCGGTGGCAACGTCCGTGAAGACCACAAACGCCTGGCCGTACACGTCGCTGCTCTTGCGATACGATACCTCCAGCACGGGGCCAAATTGAGTGCAGTACAGATAGAGCGCCCGGCGCATCTCCTCTGCCGAGACTTTGTCCGGCAGACCACGTATGTAGAGCGTCTGCTTCGGCTCTCCCATTGGACTAGTTGTGTGTGTGTGTGTGTGGGTGGGTGGGTAGGTGGCTCCTCTGAAAAAAAAGTGCAAAAAACGGCAGAGAGAAAAGTGAGCTCTCGTTGGTTGTGTGCGGGAGACGCACAGAAGGTGGAGAACGACATGCTCTCGTTTTTTTTGTTGTTGTTTTGGTTTTGGCTTCTGCTCGCGGCCTTCGCTGCCGCCTGGGGGTAGGGAAAGCGTCAACGGACAAAAAAGCAACAACAAAAACCACGCAAGGCGACAAGAAAAAAAAACATATATAAAGAACAAAAGACTGATAACAAATAGAGAGAGGAAGGGAGAAGAATAATAAAACACGCACACACACACACACACTCACACGCGGGTAGCAAACTCGTGGGGCGGGGCTACACGGGCTCAAGCTGGTGCACGAGTCTCCCGTCGACCCAAGTCTGCGCGATGTTCGCGGGGGTCGCGTTGTAAACAATCTTCTGAAAAACGTCCTCCAACGAGTCGTGGCCTTCGAAGACCTTCACGTTGCCGCTCCGCGCCTCCACATCAACCACCAGGGCGTCAAACGCGTAGCCCGGCTCAAAGCTGCCGACCTTCAAGTCCAGCGCCGCGCCGCCGCCCGCCGTGGCCAGCCAAAAGGCCTCGATAATATTTATTCTGGCCTCCTTCCAGTTGCTCCGCTCAGCCGCCGCCTTGTTGGGGTCAACGCCGTCCTCCAATACGCACGAGGCCGCAACAGCGTGGCGGCAAGTGTCGAAGAGTGAAGGACTGTGTCCACCCGCCAAGTCGGTGCCGAGGCCAACACGAAGGTTCTTGTCCAGTGCCCTCTTAAGGGGAAATACGGCGTTGGCAAAGTAAAAATTTGACAACGGACAGTGCGCCACGGCGGCCCCTCTGCTGAGCAGAAGATCCATGGCTTCCTCTGACAAGAAGTTTGAGTGCGCCAAAACGGTGCGTCTTGTTAGCAGCCCAAACTCATCCAATACAAAGGCGTCGTGCTTCTTGAAACGCTCAATGACGTGATTGTGCTCCCAGTCACTCTCCGAACAGTGCGTCTGTACGTGGCAATTGTACCTCGCCACAAGCTTTCCGAGGCCACGAAGAGCCTCTGTGCTGCATGCTGGGAGAAATCGAGGACAAATTGAGGGAAGCACCACGCCGCGCTCATTTCCCCTTAGCGCCCGAACAGACTCCACAAAGGCGGCGCTCTTAGCAACGGAATCCACGGCACCCTCATCGCGGTAAAAATCTGGGCATGCCTCTGGGATATCCATTGACACACGTCCAACCACTGCCCGCTGCCCCCTCCGCAAACAAACCTTGGCAAGTGCCACACTGGACTCCAGGTGAATTGTGGCAAAATACATGGCGGTGGTGGTGCCGTTTGCCAGCAGTGTTTCCACCAGAGACGTGTATACCTTCTCCGCATACCCCGCATCCTTGTAGGCGGCCTCCAGCGGAAACGTTCTCTCCTGCAGCCAGTCCTTAAGCGGGAGGTGCAGTGCCTTTCCAGTCTGGGGCCACTGAGGCGCATGCACGTGCAGGTCGATGAGCCCAGGGAGCAAGTACTGGTGCCGGCGCAGCGGCCGCAGCTTGTTAGCCTCCCTCGCCTCCTGCATCACCCTGTCGTAGTCGGCGTCCGACGGCCGCAGAATGCGCTCAATAACCCCGTCAGCGTCACGCACGGCGATCAAGACATCCTGCAGGACCTCTAGCCGCTTCCGCTCCGGCACGTGGAAGGCGGTTCCGCAAAACACAGGCATCGCAGAAAGTATAGCAAACGCCTCGACGGAATAAGGAGGGAATAGATATGGCGGAAGCGCGGCGATCAGCAACGTCAGGAGCTTCGCTTCATCGCCATTGGAAAGGCGGGAAACGGCAACACACACCGAGAAAAAGAAGAAACAAGAGAAATAAAATAAAAGAAAGAAAAGGCGGAGGAGCAAAGGGCGCAAGACACAAAAACGAAAAGTCACGCGGCACACGGAAACCGTTCCTCATTTATTTATTTATTTTTTGCTTTCACGACAACCGTGGCGAGAAGGGGCAAAATGCACAACAAAAAAGCAAAACACACACACACACACTTACACACACATCTCCTGCGCCCATTCTTGCTTTTGCCCGTCCTTAAGCTACGGCGACGCCTATGCGCCCCAGTGCCTGGAATTCGCTGTCATTGACGCCATTCACCAAGCACGCGAAACGCGTCCCCGTAAGACGCAAACCGTACAGTGGGCACTCAAGGGCGTCAAACGGACAAAGGGGGAGATGAGGCCTGGAAAGCTCAAAACCGTCGCCCACTCCGAATCGCAGCCCTGAGAAGGAGAAAGGCATAACACCAAGTCGAGTGGCAAGGAACTAGAACGCACACCCGCGTACCTTTGCACACCGTCGGGCTTGTCCTTTTCTCAGCCTCTGCAGAACACTTCACAATATGAGCCCTGGCGAAGCCGACCACCGTGCCCCGGCGCCAGAGCCCACTGTCCCGCAAAAAGGGTCGAGTAGAAAGCAAGAGAGTCGGTAATCCGTCCGCTGGGCTTCATACGTGCACAAGGGTGGCGGCAGGTGAGAGAATAGGACGTTGGCGTGTTCAGGGGGTCTAAAGCAAGAAGGAGTTTCTTTCCTGCCTGGCCGCTGCGCGTGCCGATGCCGCTTCCGCCGTGGCTGAACTAACGGAAGCTCCTCTCCAGGTGGTGCGTAGGGAAAGTTCCCGCATCTAAAGGCAAAGACAACGGAATTTGCACCCAACAAATGAGACATGCTGCTGCTATACTTGCAGGGGTAGAACGGTTATGCGCTTGAAGGCCGGAGCATACACGTCTAAGAAACTCGCCGGTTACACGTTGAACACATTCTACAGAGAGAAAAAAATAGCAACGATAAAAACTTGACGAAGGAAGAAGAGCTGATGCTGTCAAAGTATTGAAATGTTTTACTGCTCCCCCCCCCCCCCACCAGACAACGACAACGACAACGAATTGTCGGCGCCTCTGGCGCAGCCGGCCACCTCAACGTGGTGCCAGAGTCTAGTACTCTCTATTAGGGAGGAAGCTAAGCGCCTGCTACTCGCCTGTCTTGTGTGGGCGCGTAGCAGACGCATAGCTGCAGGGCCGGAAGGGCACGAGATGGAGCCCTGTGTGGGGCTGCCCGAGGAGCGGAGTTTTTTCCCGCTGCCCACTTCCATCGGCGCTTGCCAGCGCTGTGTTTGTCGTCTGCGAACTGTATGCGACGCGCAACGACAAAAATTACTGCTAAGTGGGGATGTTGAGCAGAACCCCGGCCCCTTAGCAGTACTCCAAATGAACGTCTCCGCCCTCTCGCAAGTGAAACTCGCCACTCTGATGGCGTACGGCGCGGACATCATAGCCGTCCAGGAGACCTGGAGGTCGCCGGAGCAGCTTGCCACGTACAACACT